TTAGGCTGATACATTTCCTAATTTTCAAATAATCCTTTACGTTTACATGTTTGTGTATTTTCCAGAGATGTGTTATCAACACCACAGATCCTGAACTGCGAAGATAAGGCGGACTGGCGACAGTGTCTGATCTCCAAAGAGGAAGAAATAGAATATGTGAAGGATTTCAGAGATAAGTTCCGACCGTTTGACTTCACTGCTGATGCGGATAGCGATAGTGATTAGAGTAGTTAGACTACCATAGTTATTAATTAGAATTATTATTATGAATGGGTAGGTTCCACAGTAAAAAATAAATAACAACTTTTTTAAACCTGACTACTAATGCTAATAGATACATTTTGTTTTTATAATAACCATCGTGAGACATACTAAATTAAATAAAAATCGCGGATTACTCACGTGAATGTACTGACCACGCACGCTGCTCTTGAGAAACCCCTCTGTGGTTCGAAACTAGTAGAGCTTTTCTCGGTATATTTACGTGAGCAACTATATTAATTATGACGTCATAATACATTAACTTATATAAACGTTGGCGTTTAAAAATTTAGACTGGTTGGAAACTACCCTATTTTATTTATCATATAGGTACATTAGTGAATGTACCTGAGAAACAATTTTTTAAATATTTTGTGTAAGGATGTTAAAGTAAAGGCGGAGACAGTCTCTTGATACAACGACTGTGGCACCTGGCTACTATAGACTTACGCAGAACATACACACATTGACACGAAGGACATCAGTCATTTTCGTAAGTCTACTAACGTGGTAACTCATTACACACGCACACATAAATAACTCACTGACATTTCGGTGCTTTTTTGCATCTGATTATTGTATCTTATTTCTGTAAATTACCCTTTGTGTAGAGAGATAATAAATAAATTTATTATTATTATATTATTATTATGTATGTCTTTACCATTCACGGAACCACAGGGTCCCGGTCATTTGGGAGGCGTGCGAGGGGCCAAAGCCAACTGCGCAGAGGCCCTTTAGACAACTTTAATCTAAATGTAATGGACACACATATTATTATTATTATTATTTCGGTGCTTTAATCATTTGTAACTGACATTATGTCCGCCTTTTTTCAACGTCCTTGATGTTGTGTATATTGTACATATTAGTGTAAACTATCTGTTGCCCTGGACCTCGTCCCGGTAGAATATCAATTTTAGAACACATTTTTTTTTTGTTTAACTTTTTCCAAAATCAATAATCCAAATGTTATTCATTAGTACATCTGTACAGCTACCTGCTAATAAAAGTCTTGCAAAATCGGTCCAGCCTTTCCACAGATTAGTCAGTACAAACAATATCTTGTTATGTGTATATATAATATCGTATATATATTCATATGCATGGAGTAAAAAGCGGTGATTTAATATTACACACAGACACTCCGATTTCATTTAGCTGTACAGATTTCAATGATAGTTAATGAATTTATTTAATAACACACTGCGAGCTAACTAAGCTATGTGATAGTGATCTAAGAAAATGTATACGTAAATATGTATATTTGTGACACATTTACTTTTCTGAGGAAATAAAAAGAATACAGATACTTAAAAGTTTTTTTTATTTATTCACTAATAAAGGTAAGTTGATCCATCTATGGAGCTTAGCACCGTATGTGTAAGGTATTTGTGTGAGGAGTGGAATGATCTGCACTCGTTTAAGTTCGGTATGAGATTGTTTAATTTATTATAAATCAAATCACATGATGACATAGAATGGGGGCGATGACCGCAACATATCTATAAGTAATCACAAGGTTCCACAGTACAATAACTTGTTTTTAACCTCTTGTCTGTCGATATTTGAGACACAACAGAAAACACATCGTGTTTCGCGTAAATCAGTGTTCCCACACTGTCTTCATAACTTAAGTTATTAGTATCTAGTACAAATTCAAGTTCTGGAACATACGACTTTAAAGTACGTAATATAGAACATACGTATATCGGTAGGACATACGTATATACGGTCCAGGCAAATGCCAGGAATGAATTAGAAGTACTAATATTTTTGATGATAAGATAGCTTTGTCCACGTGAAAATTTAGGAAGATTTCAAAATCCATGGCTTTGTGCAAATCCCTGTAAAGTATTTTTTTCTAATGGAGAGATGGAGGTGTGAGTGACTTTGGGCTAAATGGGCTCATTTCTACAACTTATAAAACACTAGCTTTTACCCGCGGCTTCGCTCGCGTCACAAAAGGATAAAAGTAGCCTATCTGACATATACCAATACACACAGCGCCATCTATTCCAATTCTTTTGTTTTCCCTCGGGAATATCAAAAATTTCCCGGATAAAAAGTACTTATTTATTCCGGACTTCTAACTTTAGGTCTGCAAAAATTCAAAGCAATCGGTTTAGAAGTTACGGCGTGAAAGCGGAACAAACAAACTCACTTTCCCATTTATAATAGTAAGGACTTAGGCGAATACATATTGAAACTAGCTACTCACATGCTTCACACTCTGCTTGGCTACTATTTATTATAGCCTGATGTTTTGTAGCCTATAGCATTGGGCTCGCTGCCATTGCAGCGGTAAGACCCCTCTTTGAGGAGTGGCTTGAGAGACGCTACGGCGTCCTCACCTACCGCCTGACGCAGGTCCTCACCGGACATGGAAGTTTCGGGAGGTACCTGTGTCTGATAGGGTGGGAGGAAACGCCCGGGTGTCATCACTGCGAGGACCGCCCTGAGGACATGGTGGAACACACGGTGGGAGAATGCCCTGCGTGGGCTGAGCACCGCCGTGCCCTCGGGGAAGTGATCCGCGATGGCGACCTCTCGCGTCCGGGCCTAGTGCAGGCCATGATGCGGAGCGAGGGGGACTGGGATGCCGTCTCCTCTTTTTGCGAAGCAGTCATGCTAGCTAAGGAGGAGGCGGGACGCGTGAGGCAGCGAAGCGCTGCCTCCTCGCAACCCAGCCATCGCGAAGGACACACCGGGCGTCGGGGATCGCGGGACGATCTCCGGCCACCGTAAGCGCGGGCCTGCGGACGGCGAGCATGGGTGGCTCCCCGTCCGACCAGAAACAGACCCGAGCGTACGGCGCGCCGCGTTCCGCGCGCGCCCCAAAGAGCCATCAGACCACCACAGATGGGGCCCAATACGGCCGATGCCGATTCGGAGTCGCGGAGAACCTAACGGGTAACCGGGGCTCCGGCTCGACGTGCAGGAGAAGGAACGGGGTAGTTTTTAGTCAGTAAGAGTCTGACACTCCCTCCCGCCTCACCCAGGCGGGAGCAGTCATTCGATGATTTTCCCCCTTTAAAAAAAAAGCCTATAGCATTCCTCGATAAATGGACTATCAAACTGTATGGTTGGGCAACCGGCTGCCAGGCACTTCAATTCCCAACCAATTGACGGTTCAATTCCCGCACGGAACAACTCTTTATGTGATCCACATATGATTCGGCGCTCTAATTGGTTGGTTCATTGGCGCCGGCCAATCAGAGCGCCGAACACCACTCGTTTCGAATACTTTTAACGTAAACCAAAATTGTACTAAGGCAGTAGAAAATATTAGGGAGGTAAAATAAAATACAGGTTTCAAGTAAATGAATTTTTATTTTCGTTCACATCATACTGTCCTAGTAACTCATTTGTTTGCATTATAAAAACATATCTTGTAACAACATGATTAACTAACCCTTATACATACTTGTGTATTATTTATTAACAAAATGTCATAAAAATGATATGGTACATTGACTAGTATTCTGAATGATTTAAGAGTAATGATTTTTATAACAAATTTTTGCTCCTAAACTCGTCTAAAATAATGCTAACAAAAATTGGGATTTGAAGGGATTTTCGCGTCTCTAACCTTGAATATTTGACCAAAAGTGACCTCTAAACTAAAGAGAATAAGATTCGTAATATATTTTGTATCTTGACTGAATGACGTTTATTAAAATTTTCATCATACCCAAATATTTGAAATTGGAAACGTTGATGCAAATGCAATCATAATCACAAGACCGGACGCTTACTCTTGAAACCAATCTCAATGTCAATACAATTTCAATCCAATAAAATCTCAATAATTATTCAATGTCAACACTATACAACCCCTATCGTAGCTGTTAAAATAGCATTCAGAGTGACAATGTCAATGACAATGTCGATTGATCGGAATTGGATTCGGAAGTAAGCCCTCCTGGTGGCTTACTCTTGATCGATTGACATTGTCATTGTGAAATTTCATACTCTCGAATTGCAACACTAGCGCCCATTGCATCCGTATTGCGTGTATATTGAATGAACTAAATGGTATTGAGTTGGACCTTATATTCCGTACTCTGAACGCTATTTTAACAGCTAAGATAGGGGTCGTATAGTTTTGACATTGAATAATTATTGAGATTTTATTGGATTGAAATTGTATTGGCATTGTGATTGGGTTCAAGAGTAAGCACCCAGAGGCCGATTAAACTTGAAAGCGACTTAGGCAAGCGCCAGATAGGAGCTCCCAAATATTGGTCGGCACCAATCCGTACTCTATGGACATTTAGGTTCGCGCGTCTTCCGGCGCCCTTCTGTACCCTAGCGCCCTAGGCGCTTGCCTAGTCTGCCTTACGCATAGGCTCTGCATACGGTTGTAACATTAACGCATTAAAACCATTACTTGACGATTACTAACAAAATCTACATCGTACTGACTAGCATTAAGTAATGTGTCTAGATTATATAAAATAGATCTCAATTAAATATAGGGCAGTCTTCGTTGGAATTACTAAAGAGTGTCAACGTAAACGATTAATATTGTAAACGATTATAAACTCAATTGAAAATATCTTGATGAATACAAACTGAGTATGATTGTCAACACTCGTAAACTATTCCTACATAATACAGAGGCCTTAGTACGAGTTTGATTTACGTTTAAAGTATTCGAAACGAGACGGCGTCCGGCGCTCTGATTGGTTGGTTCATTGGAGCCGGCCAATCACAACGTCGAACGCGTACTCGTTACGATTAGTTTAAACGTAAAAGAAACTCGTAATAAGGCCTCTGAATAATTTACATACAAATTGTAAATGTCTGCCGTTATTTAGGTAAGTGTATTGTCACGTTTTACTGTTCACTGAGGATTGCGTAATACTATCATTATTTTACAACGATTATAATGCGCGAATTTATTTATGGGGGATTATTTTAAACGCGCATATTTTAACAATTTTAACAACTGTAGAACAAAGCGAAATTATAAAAAAGGGTATGTATTTTAAACTTGTAGTACAATATTTAAATTGTCTGTAAATCTATGTAACAAATTCTTAACTTTTCGGTAGTTATACGCGTTCAAAACGATCCGTTGTATACTATAATACAATAGGTAGGTATCATTGTCGACAATAAGCAAATATTTTTGAGTACATGAACAGGAGAAATTAAATAAAATGTCATCGAAGCAGTCAGGGAGGATAGTTTAAGCTTAGTTCGAAAGTTCGGTACAATAGTCGTTCAATAAATCGTACAAATGTCTGAATAAAGTTTTTGTGTAAACGGTGTGCTGTATACATTTACAAGTATTCCCTTGCTGCTCACAGAATGCGGTTCGTCGTTGGCACTTCAACAAATACTTATCATAATCCTAAGATATAAATATTTACTTGAAAATTCATTTACACACTCCAAAACCTTAATGTAATAGACAATGATAAGATTTGCCAATGAAAACATTCCCGTTCTCATAAACTTTACAACAATCAAACAATTCGTATTTAATTAAATATGGGATATAATTACGCAATTACATCCGTAACTAGTTTTAAGACTTTTGGTCAATAAGGCATTAAGTTTAAAATATATATTTTTATTTTAATTATTGTTCTCCTTATTTTTTATATTCGATAGTCATTAGTGTACTTAGCATTAATTATATTATTATTTACACAACGACCAACGGTTTTAGAACCTACAACTTTAACGGTAGTCGAAACCGTTACATTTTAAAATACTCGGTTTCAGAGTACAAAAAGGATTAATGAGTTACGCTATTATACGTGGCACTAAAGAATAAATATAATTATATTGGCTATCTCTATCTATCTACACTTTATGTACACGTCTAGTAAATATGGAAGTTCTGTGGAGTTTGGCAACTTGTAGTAAAAATGTACCAACCAATATACAGTAGCAACAGTATTAAATGGAAGGTCTATGCGATTTCCTTACAAAGTAGAAAACCCGTGACCAAGGAAATAAGTAACAATATAACTGAGTAACTTTATAGTTTGTTTATAAATTTATCTAAACTTAAAACGCGTCTATGGCAGTGTTGAATAAATGTAGTAACTAACCCTTTATTTGGAACTTCAGATTCAGATCAGCAGTGCAGTATTGTTGAATAAATTAATTCAGATTGACCATGCCTTATTACCTACTCTTACAGAGTAACAAAATCTAAATATATACTCTCCAATACATATATCCATACATACATAGATACAAGATCATAATTCTGACAATATCAAAATCATTCACTTTAGTCTTTTCATTACGAGGCTGTCTTTGATGGCGCCTCTAGCGTACGAACGTCATTGGTCAGAACGAGTTTGACATTTAACAAACGTCAATTAAATCTGTTCTGATTGGCTGTCCACAAGACGCCATCTTTAATAATGCCGTTTAGTCGTTTAAATTGCGGCTATGTTCAAACGTTGATTTGGAAGGCTTCCCGAGTAACTTTGGGATCGTGTGCGGTGTGCTGAGGGTGTGAGGGATGTGGATGTGGGTGTGGCGCCCTCTTTCGTCGATGATGTCCCTCGCACTCTGTGTCGTCCGAGAAGCGAGACGGCGGATGAATGTGCTCGTTGAATGACGGGTAGTTCGATATACTGTGAACAAATTTGTTTTTACTTGCAAGATGCTAAAGAAATAACCATTTATTTCATTAATAATGAAAAAAGTCCAATTGCAGTTGGAATGTATTTTTTTATTTCGAAGTTATTTAAAATTGGTTTGTTAATAGAGCCTCAAGCTCAACATTTTAATTAAAATACAGTCACTAATAATTTATAGAGATATTTTAATGGATAATCTTTTTAGAATCATAGAGGAAGGTGCATAAAGATGATTCTTATCGGTTTTAGACCTATCATTACAGAATTTGACAAGACTATTAATTATATTGCAGCAGCAGAAACTTATGCATGTATTTTTAGTCTAGTACTTTACTTTATGCACATTCCTCAATTAATTAAAAGTAAAAAAGTAAGTAAACAAGTCTTCTACTGCTCACAGTGTCTACAGGTACCTGAAGGTGGTCTCGTCATTATGGCTGCTGTACCCTGAAGACGAGCGCACATGTCGCTTGCCTAGTGCCCCCGCCTTGCCCTTACGAGAAGGAAATGCTTTCCTCACTACTCCCCCCACTGAATTCTCTGATGATGATGATGATTCTTCGCGCTCTACGCTTGGATCTAGAAAGCAGTATTGTAGTAGTTACTAACAATTTAGGATCTAGCTAAAATGATTGACGTCCTTGTATGACCTATGCTAAAGAAAAAGAAAAGGTATTTAGGTAAGGTTTGAAGAAGGTGGCATTCGATAGTTTCTGTTTACTTCTAAGGGACAAACTTATGTTGCTTGAAAATATTACCCTTTATGGAAGAAATATCACGATAAGTACGATTAAATAGCAAAGGACATAAAGAAGAATACAAGAGATATTGTTATTACGTTTAGGTAAGATTTTTTGTGAAGGATGGGTTGCTCAAGGTGTTTCAGAGATTATGCTAGGTTCTGTTTTACAAACTAACATGCGGTGGGGTGTGCTGGTCTGAGCCTGGCCTGCGGCTCACTGTCGGAGTGCGGCGCGCTGGCGTCGTCACTCGCGTCGTCTTCGTACTCTGTAATGGGCAGGTGCAGCGTTAGTATCTTCTTCACCTCCGAGTCCGTCGAGCCCAAGTTGTCCGACTCTGCAATATTAACAACTTTGTCAGTATCCAGCAGAAAGAAGAAGGTAGCCGTGAACACGCCACGAAACAGCACTACGAAATTGAGTGATTTTTGTGCGACAATGTTTTGTATGAATAGGTAATGTCGTAGAAGCCTGTTTCTGATCTTTGAACTTGAGTCTCTTTCGTGGCGTGATCCACAGCAAAGCACGTGACAATTAAGTAAAAACCATGGCTGATATGACCAGAATGGAAGAGCGCACGACACTAAGGACAGGACGCCAACACTTAGAAGCAGGAACGTTCACACTAGATCATGACAATGAGTGAACTACACACATACAACGAAAGGTATGTCACAATACATACTGTGTGCATGCTTACCTTTATAAATTACAACACCATTTACGCTCCCAAAGGTTGCATAAAAGGCGATCATTATGTCAAATTACAATTCAATTACTTAAACTTAAATGGGACAAAGTAAACTTAATTAATAGAAGGTGCAATCTACGTAAAACAAAAGTATATGTATCTAACTACGTCATAGATACTCTGTAAGCTGTTGTACCGTATACAGTTAGGGGAGGTTCGTACCTTGGCTCTCGGAGTGTGGGTCTCGCAGCCTGTTGCCTTTTCTTCGTACTTTTGTGTATTCTGGCTCTTTGCCCTGTAAAGTATAGGTATTATAATTATGTCAAGTTTCTATACTTTTGCGACCAATAAATTAGGAATCCGTAACGCCAATAAGCTTTCAGAGATGATGTTTGTGGACGCTTTAGCGCACAGCTTAGATTTATTGGCGATGGTATTTTTCGTGTTTTAAAATATTACGCATCAGCTTCTACAAACTTCCTAACGAACTCATAAATTGGAATCTAGTCCTCCAAAGTCCTTTAACTATATAGAAGAGTCTGCAGTACCTTATATTTGTCGCGGAGAACCTAACGGGTTACCGGGAACGGGGTAGTTTTTAGTCAGTAAGAGTCTGTCATTCGATGAATTTTCCCCCTTAAAAAAAGTACCTTATATTTGTCATTCTGCTTAAGGTCGTGGTACACGAAGGATCCCCTCACAGAGTGGTAGGGACCGCTGTACACGTTGCCGCTGTAGCTGCTCTCGCTGTACGCCGTCGGCTTCGTCAGCTGGAACGTCGCGTACGGACAAATGTCTTCTATGTACTCTGTGGAGATTGGAAATTAGGTAATTTAAAGGCAGATAGGTTATTCTGAAGCTGATGATAGAAGGCCTCTTTTGTGAACAATAGAAGTTAATCTGTCTTTTTGGCTAGAGTTGGGTAGTGTGTTTTCGGTATATCTTAGATTTCTAAATCTAAGAATATGTAGAAAACAAAGATTTTTGTAATCTCTTCCTGAAAAATCTTCAGTGAGTTTCTGTTATGCAGACTTGAACGTTTCAAAAATCTCAATATGTCCAAGAAAGTGAAGTGCTCAAAATAAAATACCATAGTTTACCATTAGAAGCATGTTTGTAATGGTGTTGTGGAGGTGGGTGTTGTGCCCTGGCGGCCAGGTACTGCTGGTCGCGGTTCACTTTGTTCTGTAGCTGGGCCACGGAGGGAGACTCGCCTACTCCACTCTCTGTGGCCACCGTCTCTGTGGTACCAGCTTCTGCAGGCAACAGTCATTGTGAAAAGGATCTGTTCTCGATATCAATGGGATATTAATTAAAGGCTAGCTATAATATAATTACACGAAACACAGTCAAAGCGGGAAGGATTTTTTTTTTTTTTTTTTTAGGGGGGGAAAATCATCGAATGACTGCCCCCGCCTGGGTGAGGCGGGAGGGAGTGTCAGACTCTTACTGACTAAAAACCACCCCGTTCCTTCTCCTGCACGTCGAGCCGGAGCCCCGGTTACCCGTTAGGTTCTCCGCGACTCCAAGCGGGAAGGATAAGAGTAGTTTAATGTATAGAATACTTCCAAAAACACAGCGTGTATGTAGCTGTTGTTGTATCGGGAGAATTATTAAATTGCAGACTTTTGAATGGTTTGTCAAAGGAATCGTCACAATTACTTAAATACAATTTTTGAAGATTTTCATTTGTAAAGTCTTTTGACGTCGAATAGACTAATTATGAAAATCTATCAATCAATATATGAAAAAATAACTGTCTGTCGGTTATTTCCTTAAGAAGTTAGAAAAAAAGAGAGTTAGAGGAGTAGCACATGTATATACCAAAGGTAGTGTACTGACTGTTCCTGCGCACGAGCAGCACGATGGCGAGCAGCGCGCCCAGCACCAGCAGCGACAGCGCGGCCGGCAGCAGCACGCGCGCGCCGCCCAGCGCGCGCCCCGCGCCCGCCGCCGCGCCCGACACCTCGCCCTCCACCACTGCGGGCACCGCTGACACTTTATTACTCATTTTGAACTACATTTACCAAGTATCTTACCTACAAACTATGTTCAAGTAAGCAGTTTTTAGAAAGCACGTAGTACATATTGTGGATGATTGTAGTTCCATTTGATCATCAGAGTTTTTAGAATGTTGTGCTTTTATATGGTGCTCATTTATAACTGGTAAGAAGCGAGTGTTATATTACAGATTCCTCCATGTGCATCTCTGCTGCCCCTTCGGAGGGTATAAATGAGACGGAAAATGTGACGTTATCTGTGTGCATTTTTCTCCAGAGATGCAATAGCCCCAAAATACCTATAAAAATTGCTATTTTATAGGTATTTTGGGGCTGTTGTTGTCCTCTTCTTTGTCTTTTTACCCGACTGAAGGAAGATGTTAACAAAATGTCCCATATGACGAAAGGTGCAATGTTGGAAAGGGATATACAATACACTTTAAATAACTTTCTAGGTTGTTTGAGATACATAATATATGTATCCATGTCATTAAGTAAAACTTTAGAGTTAGTTTCCAAGTTAGACCTAAGTGAATAAATGGAAGATAAATATACTTACTACCGCTAAGTGAATGAGTGGTGAAGTTGTAGAGTGCTACAGCGTGGCCAGCGTTGTTGTGTGCCGTGATACGGAGCTGGTAGTGAGTCGCAGGCGTCAGACCAGGCACGCTGAACACTCGTTCTGTTGCTTGAACACTATTTGATACAAGTCGCCACTGAAAATTCAAAGTCAAAGTCAAAGTCAAAGCATTTATTTCAATTAAACCATAGTTTGGTACTTTTGAAACGTCAACAAATACAAAATAAATAATAGTCTGTCAGTCAGTCCGTCAGTGAAGCTAGGTGAAGCTAGGTGCTCATTCCAAAACGTAGATTCGAATGGAGAAGAACGAGCAAGAAACTCCATTCGTTACTCTTTTAAAAAAGTATGTTCTACAATGTCTCTGATACATATTTCAATACTGTACGCATATGTAAGAACAATGCAAAGACACGCTTGACGCATTATACTAATAACTTACTAAAATAAAAATAAAAATAATAAAGATCTTAAGTCTAACATGGTGCTCACATATGCATACTGACAATCCATAGAAATAGTGCTTCTATACAAGAAAAAGGAAACTCTTTGTTTCAATAAAGAAAGAAATGCTCGATGCCATAAGGAAACTAGATTGTCTACATTAGAATTAAAGTATTAAATTATGTATTATATTACCTACTATTGGAATTTAACTACTGACTACATTTGAGTATTGTCCAGTGGAGCCGAACCAACATGCTGCCAAGCATTCTTATCTTCAAGATAATCTGTCAGTGTGTAGTACCTAAGCTTGATTACATAATTCGCGCTTAATATATGTTTTAAATTTACTTTCATTGAGATCTAGTATGCTATTTGGTATTTTATTATAGCATTTAATACCTAACCCCATAAAGGATTTCTTACTAAACAATACTTCGATAAAACGAATCAAAGTTTAGGAATGGGAGGTAGCTACAGACGTCATTTTAGATTGATTTTAGAGTATAAATCGTACTCGAAAGTAACGTCATGTGATATTTCAAATCAATATACATATCTTCGATACTAAGTATTTGTTTCCGTAAGAAAATAAAAAGTACGTGTCTAATGTTTTTAAATAATCTTCCAGAAGAAACATTATTAAATTTTATTTATTTATTTAAACTACTGCTTTAATATTATGCTCTAAGTTACGAAAGAGGTTGGAAAAGAATATTAATTTCATCTAACCTGTGACTGACTGATCTCTCGGTATTCAATGACGAAGTAGAGAATACCACAGCCACCGTCTCCCCACGAGTCGAGCCACACCGTCACCGTCGTGGTGTTCAGAGTTATCATCTGAGAATGCTTCGGTTTTACAGGAACTGTGAAATGAAAATCACATTTAGATTTTATAGCTATCGTAGAGTTCATGCTTTTAAAAGCTTTTCTACTCCTTTCTCCTTCTCCATCAAATGTTTGCATACCTACATGTATTTGTAAGGAAATGTTATCGTCAAACAGATTGCTTCTGACTTACACTAATACGAAAATTACCTGAGGATACTTTACAAATAATTTCTTCCTTATTTTATTAAATGAAGGAAACAATTTCGTCACTTACCAGTGCCCTTGGTGTACGCGTGCACAATATCACACGGCAGACCCGTGCCGATGCGGTTGAAGGCAGTGATGTACAGTTGGTATCTCGTCCCGCACCATAAGTTTGGCAGCACGTGTTCTGACGTCCCAGCTTCCACTTGCAACTCCTCCCAGTCGCCATGTTCCCGTTTGTAGTTTATAACGTAACCTAGAAAATTAGGGCGTTATTTTTTGCACTCCATAGAAATATAAGTCGTCGTGATTTGTTCGTCTACCAATTTGCAATGTCTTTCTAAATGAATTTATAAAGAAAACAACTTTTTCAACCTTTGTTTCTTCTGGACTGCTTCTTGTACCTACGACGTGGTAAGTAACCTAAACCATGTTCCACTACAAATTCACTACGGCATGACTGGTGAGTCGAGTTTGGTTTCCAAGGGACTCATTACCACATTTTGGATCATATGAGCTGGTCACTAATAAGTTACCTAATATAGGGCTGCCACCGTCACCCTGGTCGCTCCACTGAAGATGTAGGGAGTCCGCGTAGGAATCCACAACAGCCAACACGGGCGGCTGAGGAGGCACCTTCACTTCAACGCTGTATGTGACCTCGTCTCGACCGTGAACGTTTTCAACCGAACACGTGTAGTTCCCACTGTCCAAGTACTGCGTCATGCTGTGTCAATGGTGTGAAGGGACATAGTGAAAAATCTAGCTTGTACAAAATGAAGTGAGCGTTGCTGACATAATGAGATTAAAAGAAAACTATTGCGGATAGATAGAACACACCAACACCAAGGGAATTGACACACATGTGGCTTTATTGATGATTACTTTTTGTATAGCTGCAATAGTTACCTGATGACCAAAGAACCGTCGCTGGTGACATTTTTCCTAAGTGTCGACTCCAAGGTAGCTCCATTCATACTCCACGTGGTGGATGGAACTGGTACTCCGACTTTATTACAAGGCAGCGATATGTTCTCTTTCCAAGGAGTTACGATGCTTCGGCTGAAAGATGTTATCCGAGCTGGCACTGTCAAAAAACGGGCTTTTTTTGAATAGAAGAAAATGCACACCAGTGACCTAAACTGGCGTTGAAAAGACTGCTTCACAGTCAACTTTATTCCTCGAATACAAATATCGATATTGCAGTCTGAGGACTATAGAATTTTGTATAATGGCCAAATGAAGTTATAAATCAGAATGTTCGATACGAAATAAAGAAAGATTGTAGACTAACCTGATTCAGAAGGTAACACCGTGACAACTCTAGTAGCTTCTCCTTCCCCGAGCCTCGTTGAAGCTGACACCCAGAACTGGTGAGTAGCTCGCGGCGGTGATCTCGATGTCTCGTGGGATAAGGTACTCGGAGACAGCATGCGTTTGTGAGTTCCCTCCTAAAGTGACATCGATGAAACCATTTAGCAGATGGAATGAATCCAACATGGCTCCTACATTTCTAAGGTACTTTTGTGATTAAGAGAAAATATTATGAGGGGATGTGTAAAATGAATCAATTGAATAAAAGAATTCAGGCAAGACGAAATTGTGCGTAGTGGTGGAAGTGACAATATCTTCGAAGTTGGTTTGATGCAGGGGTAAAGAACAGATGCAGGGGTGCTAGCTACATGCCGATGTGGAAGATTAATTGCGAAAAAAATATCACTGTCTTTCCTGTGTTTGTATAGTGATATTTATACACCTACGAATATGTTTTTGGTTAAAATTAAACCTATGAGTAATTTTGTGCAGTGTTACTGGAGATAGAAGATAGTGATATAGAAATACTTGTAAAAGGTGTTAGATGGTGAAGAAGTAGAGAGAGATAGAAAATGTAGAGAGAGATAGAAGTGCTTCAGTTATTTTGGTCACGTGAAAGGGTGATTAAGGGCAATTACCTAAAGGAATTCGTACTTTATACCGACTAAATGCCCCATTAGGTCACACTAACCTTATTGGCGGTGTCCTTGAAAAAAGTTCAGGTGCTTGGTACTTGGTACTCGCAATCGGTTCGCATGTATGAAAAGATGAATGAATGTGGAAGAAGCAAAAGGGATTGTGGTATGATGCGTTGTTGTATTTCATTTATCATTTTGCGATCGTGTCGATTATGTTTAACTTAAAAACATTTCACAGAAATTTTAATATACAAAGACGATTAGGAACTCAATTTTTTTGTGTTTTATCTATTTGCAGTTCACTATTAACCCTCGTATCTTATTAACCCTGCTTCTAGTTTTGGTCGATAATGCTTAAAATCTGAGTTGGTAACTTTTTAATAACTATCCTGCTGAACTTTTTCGACAAAATTAAGAATGTTGGCTTTTAAGCAATATGAAGATTAAAGAGCATCCTTCTTATTTCAATTTAGATAATAGTGAAACAAACCTCTCGTCCGTCTTCAATGACGCTCATATACAGAGTGTAGCCGACGAGAACTCCGTTCGGTGCTGCAGGCGGCAACCATGATACCAAGATCTTATTGCGAGATGACACGACTGCTTTGATGTCAGCTGGCGCTGAGGGTACTATGAAGAACAATAAAATATATTTATATGCTATTTCTTATCGTAATTTTTTTCTCTTCTGTTACACGCTGTATCTTATGTTTGGTGGAACTTCAGTTTATTTTGTGAATAAAAAACTTAAATAACAACTATTACATAAATAAAATTAAAACTAAATATTACTAAATTAAATATATACAACTTATGATTAAAATTAATTATAAGAAAAATAAACTATTTATAAGGCATCGAAAAATTCGTCCGCATCGACGTCAGTGGGGAAAGTACCCAGAAGGCTGGCAGCATTGCCACGTTGTATGGCAATGCTTAACCTCTGACCGAGAAAAAGACCAGCCCTCTGGTCACGAGATGTGTCGACCAGGCGTTTCGAAATGTTTTTGAACAATTTAAGCGCACTCGGACCCCACGGACCTAACGTTTCAACCCCAAACGGCTCAAAGATATAACTACCAGCAAGGTTGTTATACTTGCGCCGCTTGAGGTTTTCTGCAGAGGCAGCAGCCGAACCAGCACAACTCGCCGTTACTGGAAGATGAGAAGGTGCAAGGGTGTCGACGCAGGTTGCGTCCCACACCAAAGACTTTCCCAGCTTCCAGGGCATAATGGACATACCGTCGGGTCTCTTACCATCGTCGCGTGCCAAACCCTTTGGTTCCAGAACAGCTGGTACACCGGCGATGACAAGAGCTCGACGGATGATGTCGTTAATGCTGGCGTGTCGGGCTATCCGGCCCGCGCTTCTGCTACACGATAGGCCGTGGTGGCCGAGGTGGTCGACCATCTCACCGCATTGACAGCGATGCGGAGAAACACAGGGTGCACCTACACGCAAGCAAGCAGCAAGCCGAAAAGTTGAGTCATTCAACATCGTGCCAATATTGAATGACGGAAGTGCCTGAAGCCAGAGACCTGATTCCCACTCACCCACAGCCAATAGGCGAGCTAACTCCGCAGGATTGGTGCTGGTATTAATTAGATTATTATGCACCAACCTGCAAAGCGGCTCGTCCCATTGTCTCTGGGAGGAAGGGTTGACAGGCAAGGCTGTATTGGGACAAGTTTCTGTCCAGGCGTTCATCGCGTCGGTCAGACACGGCACATCGGGTTCAACGTCAAGACCGGCTAAAATATTTTTTGTTAAAGTACTAGTGCTGTGGACAGAAGAGATGAACGCCGGTAAACTAACACTGGAAATTTTGCGGACGCCTAGGCCACCAAAACGAATTGGTAGTGTGGCTTGAAGCCAAACACGATCGTCCATGGAAGCATTCAAAAGTGAAGTTAATGTGTCACGGATAATTTGATCAATTTGGTCCAGAATATGCGGATGTTTCCACAGAGGGGAAGCACGCAGAAAATACATAAATTTTGGGCCGAAACAACAATAGCGAATTAATGTAAAGGCACAATGTAGATTAATTTTGGAAAGTCTATCGGAAATGTCACAGAAATTTTTAATTTTCTCGTTTATGAAATCAGAGAAACTGTTTTCGAAAATTGGGGAACCCAGGAGAAGAAGAGAGTTTTTATCAACAATTTTTAAATTCGGCGCTACGGTAGAAAAAGTGTTTAAAATTCGTTGTCTGTCAATAATTTTGTCCGGAAGGTAAATTTCGCATTTAGAAATATTTAATTCTAATCCGATGGTTTTAAATTTAGAGATCAGAAGCTGTAAGTCATGGAAAACAGTATCTGCGTCACCTCCTAAGGTTCCATCGTCCAAATACCAAACATTAAATTTAGATTTAAGTTGCCGAATAATAGGGTGAATGGCCAGACTGAAAATGACTGGACCAAGAGGATCACCTTGTTGGCAGCCTACCGCAGAATCCAAAACTTTGTCTTTATATAATAATTTTGAAGGTTGACTATAGCACTGCCAAATAAAACTGTAAATTTCAGGTAATTCTTTTTTAACTTCAGCCAACAAAGTGTCCCTATTGATGGAATTGAATGCATTTTTTACATCAACCTTAAGGATGACCTCACTTTCGTTTGTATTCAAGAAAGATGATAGGGCGTGTACGGCAGCCTCACAACCCCCTTTTGAGCCGAAGCCTAGTTGGAGGGGTTGAAAGTGCGACATGAGCGCATCTTTATGAAAGCTGCAACACAACTTGGCTGCCAAACGCCTGTAAGTACAACCTACGGCAATGGGACGTATGCCGCCATCTTTTTTGCGTAGGGCACATAGATTGGCCCCGTACAAAATGTCGATAACGGCATCCGTCACATTACCGGAGAGCATTAAATTAACCAAAACCGTTAGCTCCTTCAGAAGAGACTCACCGGCTTCCCCGACGTCTGGCCCCGTCAAATCCTTAAGATGTTGAGGAGTCAGACCATCAAGTCCACCAGCAGAGCCACTGCGGAAGGAGCCAACGGCTGCGGCTAGTTGCTGGACAGTTGCGGTGAAAGTATGAATTGGTTCAGGAGGATCGGGAAAAGTGAGGTCAGCCCTAGCAGGCGGGTGTTTACTCTTCAGAGCTTCAAAAGTTTCTGAAGAGTAGGGAGCAACCACGTCACTACTGAATAAAAGCCTGGCGGCTCCGCTTATATCACCTTCACCTAATTTGGATTCTACGTAGTCAAAACGAGTTTTTTTAATATTATTAAAGGAGTTAGGAAATTTTGGGTCTAAAATGGGGTTCAAAATACTACAATTACTTTTAATTTGTGAGGTTAAGTTTTTTTTAACAGCCAAATTTTTTTTCACGTGTAGAATCCTGTAGGGGAAGGTGAGTAACTCTTATGTTTTAACTAAATTTTCCGTCTCAAGTCTACTGAAGGAAATTCCAACAGGAATATGTAGCACCTATGTACTCTAATTTTATAGTCAAATTTTAGTTAAAGCAGGGTCATGCAGTTTCTTGAAACTATGTTTAGTTAAATACTTAATTTAATTACCATCTTCCTCCGTATGACAGTATACAGGTGCAGCTCTGACCCCATCACCAGCAGCCGTAAAGGCACACACTGTGACTGAATAATTCGTGAATCGCCTTAGACCAGAGAGCGTCGTATGTAGTCCTGATATTTGCTTCGTCACCGCTTCTTCATTCCCTGCAATGGACGTTACTTCAGGATTCCGAAGTAAGGGAAATTCAAATGTGGTGGATGATTTTGAATGAAACAGTTAACAGAATAACAACCTACTTCAAAGTGTCAAAAGATTTTCAACTTTTATTGCATAATGATACATTTTAAAACCAATTGAAGGGTCTGGAACAGCTTACTTTACTGTTTTAGAAAGAAAATGAAAGTCTATGATCAATGATGCTTACCATACCAATCTGTGACTGGTGCGTAAGTGACCCTGTATCCCTGTAATACTCCATTGCGCCCTCTTAGAGGGGGAGGTTCCCAAGCAACTCGAACTGACTGAGAACTTAACGCTGTGCATTGTAACGCTCCTGGTGGTAAACTTGGAACTGAAAGGAAAGAAGTGAAGGGGTTTGTTAATTTACATTGAAATTAATATGTTTAATTGCTTTAATTAGAGTATTCTGGAGTCATACTCGTTCCCTGACAAGGATTGTCTGTCTTTCTTTGATCATAAAGTTCAAATTCCCCTGGAATAGTAGACTGGCCGACTGCTAAGCTAAAAAACAGCAAATCTAGTAAAAAATAAGCAAGTAGCCACTTTGAAAGATCATCAAAGGGAGCTGTAAAATTTAGTCCGTGGTAAACTTGTTTCGCAACTCACCATCCTCCATAGTAGTAGCAGTAGTAGGAGGTGAAGCAGGGCCTGCGCCTCTACTGTTGTAAGCCTGCACGACTACAGCATACGCTGCGTGCTTCTGCAAGCCTGATAACGTGGTCCGTGCCCGAGCAGTTCCAGCTCCTTCTACCGTACGAACTGTGTAGGAAGCCCCACCGGGACCACTTGCGCTTAGGACTGTGCTGTTGCTGTTTAGCTGATGAGATTGAAGTATTTTTATTTCAATGCAGAGTTTTATGTTTGTTGGCGACGACTGCCGGGGTCGTCAGTCGGGGTCTCGGGTTCGATTCCCGGGTCGGGCATAATTATTGGGTTTTTAAATATTCTTAGTAGTAGCATGGAGTCTGGAATTGTGCCCGGTATATGGCAATAGGCTCACCCCCTATTACATGGGACTCATAACATAAATAGTGAAAAGTGGGTGTTACATTGTACAGTGGTATAATGTGCACCTCTGCCTACCCCTTCGGGGATAAAAGGCGTGATGTTATGTTATGTTTTATGTTTGTTCTGTGTCTGTATAAAAGTATAGTATATTACTTTTTAACGTCAAGGTCGTAAGAGGTACTTAAACTAATGATTCCTTCAATCTTTGCAATTTACATCTAAACTTGGACAATTTGTTAGCTAAACTATTCTCTAACACTTAAAACTCACCTCTTGGAATCCTACGTAGTAACCAAGAATGTTTCCGTTCCAAAGGTCTCTTTGCGGTGGTTCCCAACTGACAATTAGCTCCGTAGAACTTTTCGCTTCCACTCGGACGTCCAATGGCGGTCCGCTTGGGACTATAGAAATAATTTGATTAAATTGTTTGGACAGTTATATTACGAAGACTGTTCGGTTGCTTCTTAATTTGAGCTAGATTTCTAAAGTGGCAATTGTTGAAATATTGACAGTTTTAATTTGAACTACTTATTTACAGTGTCTTATATCAATTTCTGTGTCGATAAGTTAAATCCAATGAAGATTCATGGTAATATGTCAAGGTAGTTTTTCATGATGACATGTTGGAGTTAAGTACTTTTCACATAAGTACAGTGAATAAAACATGTTCTTTCTGTTCAGTAAGTCGAAAATCTTAATAACTTACCCTCTTCAGTCGTTGTGACTTGTATTAGCTGGCTTGGCTCGCTCTGTCCCAGTCTGTTCTCTGCTATTATTCTGAGATGGTATGACGTCGCTGGTTGAAGGTTCTGCACGCTGGCTGAGGTTACACTGCCCGGGACTATCACTTTTTGCGGTGTAGTTGGCCATGAATCTGGTTAAAGATGAAGAACTTTTTTAAAAATGAATTGTTCTAAATAGCGTTTTTAAAGAATTTTAGGTTAAGTGCGATAAGGTTGGATTTTGGCTTTCAATTATTGAGTTTGGGCTCACCTGGTGCTTCCTTATATTGCACTATGTAGTTGATGATAGGACTATTGCCAGCATACGGTTGAGTCCATGAAATTTGTATGGAACGAGACTGTTGATCTATGATCCTTATATTTTTTGGCATTTCAGGAACCTGAGAAATTTATAATGAATATAAATCAAATTAGTAAGTTCTTGTTCCGAGTAAATCAAAGTAAAAATTTAATAAAAACTACAAACTCGAATAAGTAAAAATAGCCATCATTTCTCACCTCTTGGACAACAAGATGTATCAACATTTCATCCTGTCCATAGGCGTTGGAAGCTCGGCAGGTCAGTGCTCCTGTGTCTTGTCGGTAAGTCTGTAGGATGCTCAACTCAGACACCAAGCCATCGTCCAGCACTTGTTCTCGTATTGTGTATCTGTAATATAAGTACTTGGTTAATATAGTTTGCATTATAAGTCTTCTTAATCGTGTTCAATAATCTGACGAATACGTAAATTTTCATTTTAAATACACGGAATTCTAAATAAATTAAATATCTGCGGTCCTTAGGTACACAGAGACCAATATCGAGTTTGAGGCTGAAAACTTAATGGCAATTTAATGATAAGAACCTCTTTCAGTAAAACTAAGAGCGAAACTGGCGAAGACTTGGTATAATTATAACTTTACCTACACTTTTGGAAGACTTTTGGGGAGTTGAGTTTCATTTATATTTAGACTGTAGTTACCTTTGATCTAAATGATGTGCAATAGTGTGATGATGGGGACTTCGCCAGCTGACTTCCAAAGGTGAGTCTCCCGATGCAGCGCACTGCAAGTGAGCAGCTTCTCCAGCTGTGACCTGCACTGTTTTACTCTTCATCGGAAACCTTGCTGGTGCTGTCGTGTGAAAGAAGAGATGACATCAGTTTAATGGTAAAGTAGTAAATAGGTATTGTCTTTCAATATTTTTTCTACTGCATACGTTAAATATACGACTGTTAACAACCTCCAACAGAACTGTCATAATTCCCATTAAATGAAGTTCTGATTTTATTAAAACAGAATAGCTTACTTAATACTGGACCTATTACTTAATCTCTTACTCTCGTTTAAAAGACCTTTTCAATTTCGAGAAGTTATTGCACTCCGAGCAATCGCTGAAATCAGCTCAATAAATTCGAAACACAACTCAGGTACAAAAATCGGCTAACTTAATCGACCCCGACCGTGCCAAGTTTCACTAACTAAACCAAAAAAATATGGCGGACGAATTGTCTGGTCTAGCAATACATCATTTTGCGAGTAAACGGTTCTTGATTAAGTTCTTTTAGCATCGATTCTGTATAGCTCAAATATCAGTGATGAAGTGTCTAACCGTAAAATATTTTTCAATATCACGGGCTATATTGGAGTACTTCACCTTTTTTGTTCAATGTCTGCATTGTACCGTTTTTCATATTGGCAAGAAATCAAGAGCTGTGGCCGCGCACTGAGATTGCCTAACCCCACTCTACAGGATTCCCTTTGAGTGTGCGGAAAAAATATTTCCATAAAGGCAGCCTCGTTAAATCATGCTGCTGTTATACCAACGTTATTTATTGGCAAATACCTTGTTTACGATACCCTCATATTTTAAAGATTTATTGTTTGTTTTAAAAATTACTGTGCCATTAGGACGCGCAACCGAAATTCTGTTATTTTTGTCGGAGCACGGACGAGAGACCGCTTTAAATCTATTTATTTAGGTTCAAGTGAACGTCGGTAAACTTTGTTCATGTGTAAATCCTGGTGAACCTTGTGTCAAACCGAAATAAACAAGCGGGAAATACGATTACGGCTAGAAGCGGAACTGTTTACAAACTGTTCGCGAACGTGACGGGTTTAGGAGCCGGCCGCCACCCGTCCGCCGCAATCGAACAAAGTTTCTCTGCTGTTTGTACAATCTACGATTTGTTAACGTTACCATAAATAACAATCTTCGTTTGGTCCTTTGTTTTCACCTCGACAGCGTTTGATTTCAACAATCATAAATAACCAAGGCTTTGTAGGCTTCACGGCGAACCATATTTCATGATATTTCCGTCTCAACAAAAGCCAATATCGGTGAATACAAACACGTACACGCGGACTTATTCTAGTGGAAGGCAACTGTCTCGTTTTCCAATAAAGAGGAGACGTATTGCGACGTACGGTCATTGAGTTTTCTGCTCAGACGCGCTCGACTCGCGCTGCCGACCGCCGACAATCGAATAAACTAGAAATACATCGTCTCGCCTTTATTGTGTCCGTCCAGCGGATAAGAGGGCACACTTTAATTATAAGTTACCGGAGGATCACCAGCTGCCATAGTCGATATTGAGTTCGTCTATTGGCTAACAGCAATTGTGTCAACCCACAGCCATACGACTAGAGCTAAAGTTATATTTCTTCACAGTAGCTACATAAGTAAGAAAGTCTCAAAAGGACCGTAAACAATATTACTTCTCCAACGCCTGCAAGTAACATAAAAACAATCACTGCAAAGTAAATAGCGTGTCTAAAGTTGTGCCTTGTCTTACATTAAAGAACTGACACCGGCGCTAATTGAACAAGTAACTTTGCCACTTAAAGTTTTCATAAAAGTTAACAATGAAATGTAGGTCCAACCTCAGAACGATCTAAATTAAGTTCGAAAGTACTGACAGCAGCATCAGGGTCTTAACAAAGTGGGAAAATTGACTTCCTTTAATTTTTATATACTATTATAGATGTATATAGGTAGGTACGTCGTACAGTACGCCCGGCAATTTGAGCGAGTTATCGTCGGGTCGCCTCGTGGAATTCTATTGAATCAAATAAATTGATAAAGGTACATTGCGAGTGCCCATAACACGGTTTAATGTTTTTTTTCTTGTTCAAGTTGTCATACGTTTAAGTAATGTTTGCCTATTTATTTAATAGCCACTTAGGCATTTTACCGTATTCACACATGAAAACAATGTAATTTCATGCCATGTATTTCCATTTGTGTACACTTTCACGAAACTAAAAAACATTTCGAATTTTATCAAAAGGAGTACAAAACCTATTTCCAGTTAAGAGACAATGCGTTCTTAACATTTATTTTAGTAAGGACAGCTCCATTTCTCCGCAACAAAACAATAATGACGCAAAAGAATTTTCATTTGAGTACGGCCCGGCTTGTCTCGGGGAAACTCATCGTTGCGACGGATCCTCCATCAAGACATTCCACAACTTTTCACAGACCTTCGACAAAAAGATGCTTCCGTTCTCTATACAATATAGGTATGGCTAGGGGTATGATCTTTGCGGTAAAATTCTATTCCCCTCGGCAAATTGACTGACCGAATTTAAAGAAGATTGGAATCAGCGAGTTCTTTGGATCACACAATTTATCGATATGGAAGTCTTTAATAAGTTTAAAAACGTTTGAGTATTCGAAGTTAGATATTAAATTTTCTTCGGTGTGACAGTGGATTATATAATTATTAATTAGGTGTAACATTTTGTCGCTTGGATGGTACTTACCGTTGACTTTTATGAAGATGAGTTTGCTCAATCCGGCGCCTATGTCGTTTCTAGCTTCACAAAGATAATGTCCCTCGCTGTCTTTGGCGACTCGCTCGAACACGAGCGAGCCATTCTCCAGGACCCTTGAGCTCCCTTCAAACATGAAGTCTTTGTATTCGCCAGGAGTGTTACCTGTTTCAAATTTGACCCAGTTTTTATGTCTGCGTTGCTTACAGTAAAGATTGTTTAAGAAAACGTTTTGTAAAGGAAAATGGTCTTAAATATTAAGCTAGAATAGAATGTTTTTGTTTGTAACTCACCAACTGCTTTCTTCCACGTAATGATCGGTTTCGGGTATCCATCAGCTTGGCATTGTAATGTCACGTCTTGACCGGCAGCTACTGCCACATCGTTAGGTTCCAACCGCCATCGAGGTGGTACTGTAGACACACATTTTATTAACATATTGCGACTATATTTCTAAGGCAGTAAGTAGTACATAATAAAATAAAGTTTGATTACCATTGACTGTTAGCGGTATGGTGTACCGTTCTGACCCAGCAACATTAGACGCAATGCACGTGTAATTCCCGCTGTGTAGTGACGTCACCTGCTCTATAACTAATGACGCGCTGTATTCGTCCATTCTTCTTGTAATGATACCACTTGGTGCGTATGGTGATGACGTCACCGGTTGACCATTTTTCTCCCATCGAAATGCTACTGGTAGGTCACCTTCCAAGATCTGGCAGGATATAGCCGCTCTCATGCCTTCACGCAATAAATTTGTTAACGCCGGTATGGGTAATATTTTTGGCTGAACTGTAAATTGAAGATAAATTGGTTATAATTTTGGTAAATGTAAAGATACATTTTGTTTAAGTGAAAAATAAATGTTTTGGTAAGTTTTATTGATTGATTTTAAAATGTTTCAATTTTGGCGACCTCCATAAATCTCAATACAATCCGGACATAAAACAAAATAATCAAAAAAGGTAAAAAGATGCCCATCGTCCCGTCATCGCATGTAACAACGTAATGAATTAGACAAGAGACTCCAGGACATAACTCACCAAAAGTTATTAGGGTTAAAATTTCAACGCGCAATTTGACCACGTAGACACATTTAATTTCACCATTTACTTTTTACGTAGGTGCCTAACTGTTAATTAAAATAAAATCTTAAAGCCACGCTCACGGCTTGATTTCGTGGACCTCATTTCGGAGGGTTGAAGTTTCCATTCATTTTTTTAATATTTTTTATTTTATTGCCCTATTAACCAGTAAAGCTGGAAGTTTAACGCCCCGTGGATGCCGTGGTAATGGTAAACTTGCTAACTTTAATGAATTACGGATGAGTAACTCCACCCCTCTTGAATTCGTGATTTTATAGCGCATTAAATCTTAGTAAAGAAAATGAGAAAGTTTATGCTCTGATTTAGTAGTGATAAGGACTCGGATTTTTAGTTAGATAATGATGGTGTTCGAAAAAAGGCCCTAAACTGCACTGATTTGTCATGATCTTGGTAATTTTTAGACGTTAATGTTACGAAACCTGTTTAAAGTGGCAGACTGTTCTCAAACATCACTGTTTGAGAACAAACTTTCACAAGTTTGAAGATCAAAACTTTTAATTGTTTCTTTGAAATTAACACGGAATAACATTTGCATTCGGACATTTAATTTTTAGCTTCATTCGATTCAATTACAGTCTTAGTATTCTAACTGAATTTTTTATTTTTGACAACAGTATATATAACTGACAAAACTTCTTACAATTAAGAGTTTGTAGCTATAAAAACAATGTGGACATGAATCATTAATCGTACCGTGCTGTATAATAAATAACACTTTCTACGGGGTTAAAATCAAACCTGCCAAAAATATATCCGTTACCGAAAAACCAATGAAACAGTCGATCGGAAAAGTCTGTCGTGGTCAATGGTAAGTACTTTAAAGGTGAACAAAATTTGGTGTTAAAATATTAAGAAAAAAAGTTATGACGTAATTCCTGTTTCTTTTGGGTCCCCCCTAGTAGATACAATCATGTCCAAAGCACACATTCCAAAAGTAAGGGTTACCAACGCATTTCCATACATTATTACACCACAAAATACTGCTCCAGTCACTTAGCACGCCACTTCTCGGGTGACACCTATTTGTATCGCCAAGTTGCCACTATCGACGGATCTCTAACTTAATATTTGCACATCGACGTCTCTTCGACAGTAATACGTGCCAACATGCAGCGTATCTGCATTTATATCAAGATCTGTGTGCCACTGGGATGAAACTTCTGCCATCTGTTCGCTAGTGTTGTGGTATGTATTTTGCATTTTATGTGTGTTGCTAATGCTAAGTGTGCGTAATGGATGAAATTATTTAGCAATGAGTTAGGGAAGTTTTGATTTTAGTGTTCTTGTCACTGATTCTTTTTAAACTTAACTATTGTGTCTATAGTTATTAATGATATTATTGTTTGGATTTAAATTTGTGGTAAGAACTTTATAGTAGGTGTCTGTTGTTAAGAACTCGAATTATTTTACTGTCTACACATTGTTTGTCTTATTATTACCCCAGTCTATAATAGGTTCTTATTTATAACCAAACGAAAGTCTAAAATTAATATATCTATGATATTTCTTTACAAATTTTACCATCATTACCACCTCATATAATTATAGCCTTACCTAATATCTGTACTTCGACATCACGCCTGGCAGCGTGTCGTTGTCTATTAGCTGCCTGGCAGGTGTAAGTACCAGCATCCTCTCCTCTCTGTGTCTGCTCCACGATCAGCGTGCCATTCGGAAACACCTTCTGTCTTCTGTTCAAAGGCAGATTTTGGCCATCTGTTGTTGATAAATAGGATCGTTATACATAAATTGGAATTAAGACCTAGAAATCTTCTAGAATACAGTTCTTCACAACTATGTATATCATGCCATAGGTTATGTTTCGTTTTTTTTTTTATTTATTTATCGTATTTACAATAATTACAGGATTTATTCATTTAAAATAGCAACCAAAATCCACGAAGGTTTAAACTTATGCTATCATAAATCAATCTCGAAATCTAATTAAAAAGGTATTTGCGAAGGTAAGTATAACCAAGGAGTAATAATAATTACAATCCGTTACTTAAATAAGCTGTAGAAATTATAATCAGCTAATTTAAAACACTTAAAAACTCGCTGTTTTAGCTACTTTTCACTCTGAATTCTGTTGCATAATTCTAAAATCGGAGCACGCAGAAATTTTCTAATTTAAAATGAGACGGGGAAACCACATTTGACTAAGCGAACTCCAAAACTCGGTGAAAACTTCGCCGGCGACGGTACCAAATAAAATTTCAACAGTCGTCTAGTGTATGGAAGTTTGGTGAAATGTGCACTGCCTTTAGATATGTCCAATTTTAAATTTAAATATCGGAATGCTGAACTAGGTCAATGTTTAGTGGATGCACTTAAAATTTTTGTAAACGCTTTCGTACGTAGCGGTTTTGAAATATTATACTCCAAATATTGCTCCCTTGGTGTTGTTTTACGAAGCTGTAATTTTGCCTGTCATAAATAGGTTAGGTTTAAATGACTACTATTACGCGCGACGACATGTTGATAATGTACCTAGCTAATGTACCTATCTAGCTTTATATTAGCTAGTCTCATCAAACTTTCGTCTAACATATTTTATTCCAGGTCAAAACTTTGAGCTTTTTCATTTGTAAAACTCTACTTTCTTATTGAAACAAAGCAAGTAGTTTATTTACTGAATAGTTTCCTCCTAAATGCAAATGATTAGCTTCAAATTCCTAATCCTGTTTAATCATTCGATTCACGGAGCATATCCTATCGACGCAGGTATCAGAGATCATAGGTCAGCTTAATGAGAGTGCCTCTATGAAAAGATAAGGTCCACTGTTGACAAGGGTCCGAAAAAGGGAAAATTACGAGGGAGTGACCCAGAGTCTTAATTTGATCTTCCGAAATAATAGGAGTACATAGAGGGCGCGTTTACGATGCTCACCAGTTTTATTTTAAGTGAAATTCATTGGATGCCTTCAAGACTTAGGTTCTTAAACAAATTGGGCTAGGCTAGGACTGGCTATTATAATAGCTATAGTAGATGAACGAAAGATATCACTGGAAAAGAAGTTGGTGTGGAATTACATTATTAAATTGATTTTGACTGTAAAATAAAAGAAGATGTAATTAAATGACAAGGGCACGGTCAAGGTCCGTGGAGAAAAAGAAATATAATATATAATAATAATAAAAAAATACATTAATACGTTTATGTGTTAGATTAAGTAATATTGAGATTGTTTTTTTTTGTTTTCTTTACTAGTATTAGTCTGATTGTACCCAATAAGATCCCGTAACATTGCTACGAAGTCGATGGGGTGTGAAACACTTCAGACTAACTCTTGGAGGAACAACAGGCATGAAGATGTAAAAGTGAGACAGTCTAATGATACAACAAACATACAACCTCAAGTAAAATGAATAGAATATACAATTTCTTTGCAAAGAAATCCTCTTATTAAGAGATTAAAATACGAGTTTATTTTTGTAATAACTCCTAATGTTTAGATTATTTTACTCTGGTGCCATGAAGAATAAAACGAATCTTTTAATAGCCAGGTTTGAAGGGGAAATTAAAGAAAAGAAACACAAATTAGCCAGAGGATGTTTTGTTTTTAAAAATGTCTGATGAAGGAAATTACAATGGAGTATCTTTTTATTTAATCTTGTCTTTAACGAAAGTACAGTAAATAAATAGGCCAGAAGAACACGAAAGGGCTATAACAGAACACTCCTTTTTGATGATACATAACATAACATCACGCCTTTTATCCCTAAAGGGGTAGGCAGAGGTGCACATTATGCCACTGTACAATGTAACACCCACTTTTCACTATTTATGTTATGAGTCCCATGTAATAAGGGGTGAGCCTATTGCCATACACCGGGCACAATTCCAGACTCCGTGCTACTACTGAGAATTTTGTAAAAACCCAGTAATACTTTGCCCGACCCAGGAATCGAACCCGAGACCCCTTGCCCGGCAATCGCACTTGCGACCACTCGGCCAACGAGGCAGTTACAATAAGTGATGATACAATAGATACTAAATACTTTTTGCTTCGGGTAAAAGACGATATGTCGAATTAAGGGCTCGTACACAAAACTGCGATGCGACGTCGCATCGCAAAATTGTGCGAGCTCCCTCTATGCATCGCAAGATCTTGCGAATTGATTCCCATCGTGCATCAAGTCTTATCTTCCCAAAACCTTCTTTGTTTCTTTTTCGTGTATCTCCTAAGCAATAACAAAAGTGCACACTTCTTTTAACGATCCATGTCACGACTTAGTTTTCAATTTAAAATACGTTTCGAAGGAATGATCACCCTGAGAGACACCTTGTCGCACAAAATCGCATCGCAGCAATTCGCATCGTAATTTTTTGCGTTGCGAATCCGCATCGCATCGCAGTTTTGTGTACAAGCCCTAAAAGTGGTTCGCTATTTCTATTTATACCAACCAAAATAGTTATCTTCTCAAGAAGCACTTTACTTAAAAACAATTGACTTATCCTTCCAAACAAATCGACGTACCTAATTGAAGGCGGTGTATCTGAGGAAAAAACAAGAGAAGAATAACTTAGATTTTGTCCTTAATTGGATGTTGCGAAGGTGTCTAGTCTATTAGATTGTGGGACGCAATTTTCTCCCCGACGGGCAAATTACCGAGGAAGACACAACGAACATATTTCCAAGCTGACGTTTTATACACTTTAGCAAATAAACAACAAAAATATATTGGACAAGGCAATATTTTCACAATTTTATAACTAGATACCGGTTTATAACTAAGGAAAGAGATTTTTTGCGAGGAAATAATTTTAAGTGGCTTATTGATTTTTTTGTAGTTCCGTCTTCTGGGAGAAAATTCGATTTGGGATATTTGATCTTAGATTTTTTTTTGTATAGAGTTTGATGAACTTGTTTGTGTACCTACTTATTGCTAAGAGGGCTGTGAAGTATTTCGTCGGAATCGACAAAATCTGAGAACATTTAACAACCAACTAAAATGTATGTACTAAAATAGTGACGTAGTCTTGAAATAGAATTACATATTATAATTATATTTTGATCGATCAACGGATGTGAACCCGAAATAATTTCAAGCAAATTTTAGTAGTCAATTTTAAATTAAAAATAAATTCGATCAGTTAAAACTCTAGTAGACCCACCAACGTAATTGAAAAAACAAGAAAAAAAACAAACACGACACAAAACAATCTCTTTTCATTCAAACTAAACAAAACCAAACTAATCTATTAGACACGGTTCGATTTGTTCCAAAATCAAATGTTTCTATTAAAAACAAGGAACTATAGAATCTAGATACGGAACCTCCTCACGTCAGTTCGCACTCACGAAGATAACCTAATCCTTATAGTTATTTCATTTCACCTTCGTCCGGGTTTCTGTGGACCTGTTGCTAAAAGGCGTAGATACCCGTCTCCCAGGGGCTTTAATTCGATACTGTTTGACTAAAGTGTCGTTCGTTTCATCGTAAATGTTTTGTTTTATTTAGTAGCTGTTGAGAACCTATTTTTGTTCAAACATCGTGTCGATAAATTATAGTTGCTGTTTTGAGTGTCGTGTCCATTCTTTGAAGCTGTTTACTTCTTGTTTCGTTTCTTCTTTATTGCTTTGCTGTTGACCTGATTAGTTATTTTTTATTCTATCTGATCTCGGAATAAATGGAATTAAACTCTATTATCATTTATAAAAGTCGTACTTACGAATAATGAATTAAAAGTTGATAGGTTAACCAGAATCTGAACATTGAACTAAAATAATTGTCCGATTTAATACGAAATAGTAGGCATCATTTAATAATAGCTACATAATGTTTATCACTACCAAAACGAAATGTACATCGTTTACAATCACAACACGTAATTATGTTGAACATTAGATAATTTGTTCTATCAAATGGAAAGTGTACAGATAATATTTCAAGCATAAACACCAGTGCACACGGGAGAGATGTTGACAATGATATATGGAGACTGGAATATGTGTCCATGTTCGTTGCAAAATGAGACACATCTAGTGTAAAATTACATCTGTAATAGTCGGTATACTGTTTAAAAGTTAGAAATGTGAATCTAAATAAATCACATTTTGTCATTTAGACGTGAAAATGACAAAGTCAATAATAGTTTATAGCACATATTTTATTTTGTTTATTATTTTTAGCCGTGGTCGTCTCACTGCAGGGCAAAAGTTTGACTAAAATTATCGCAATTTTATCGCACAAAACTGACTAAAATACTATTAAATGTTCGTTTGCTTAATTGAGCTTTTTTTTTAGACTAACATTATTGTGTTTAGGTAGTGTTCTGTGGATTGATTTGGGAAAATAAAACCTTATAGTAGCATTATTAGCGTTACGTTTCATCTACTAAGTGATGGTCTTTACGATGTTTTTTAAATGTTGCCCCATAGGATTTTATCCTGTCGTGGGTGCGTTTACAAGTATATAATTTCACATACACATGACCCGGAATAATAATCTGTGGATCACACAAAGAGATGGTCCGTGTGGGAATCGAACCGGCGGCACGTTCCGTGGCAGCCCGTTGCCAAGTCACCGCGCCGACCGTGTCATCATTTGTATTAGAATTACAAATTCAATCAAACATGACTGTAATAAAGTATTTTTTAAGTAATTATTTACTTAAAAAATACGTTACGTCATAACATTCTTCGCGATTATATTTTACGAAGTTTCAATTTAGGATCCGTAAACATTCTCCTTTTCCTTCAACCGTTATATATGTAAGAATAACATTTTAATGTAATAATATTTTTCAATAATATCTCATGAAGGCTATTATATCTTTTTGAGAAAGAAAATTATTCTTTATCTTTGGAAAACATATTTCGTTGAACGTTTTAATGAGAATAAACAATAGGTAGGTACTGAAATATTTAATTATGTTAGGTTAGTTTTTTTAAGAGTTTTGAATGTTTAATATGTATTAGGTACGGTGAGTTTACGACGTAGAGGAAAGAATATAGTGCGGCCTTTATCAAAACTATGCGCAGAATTAAAGCGTTTATTTTAGTTCAAACTATGCGAAGGCCAAATTTTCGATGACAACAAATTTCTAAAACTTGTAAATGTTGTGTAGGATTTTAGCTTCACTCAATTTTATTTGAGGATTAAAATCAACCTTAGCCTAGAAAGATGTACGTTTTCTTTCATCCCTATCTTATCTAGATCGTAAATATGTGCCTATAAATAAAATAATAATCGTACCTACAAACCAGTGTACCTACAATAAATATATTTGACGTAGAAAAAATGTGAAGAGAAAATAAAATGATTTCCATAGAAGTCCCGGGGCGACAATTCAATTTCTGTACGTGAGGCACCAGCGAAAATTATGTCAATTTCGTATCATTACCGCGACTAGGGTTGTCACCCTTTGTAGATCACATTATAGCCACGTGCAGACCTGGTAATAGTTAACAAAAAAACCATATTTGAAATAGGTACGATGTCGTTTAAAATGGTAACTTGGGATTTATTTTTGTTGATATATCATATTATTTTTTTATAAATGTTCTAGCATATCTATTTTTGAGGAATAGTTCAAAGTTTTTAGTTTCGAACCAGGCCATGTTCAACTACATTTAACCTTAATATAAAATCCTATTAGTTTACATAGTTGATAGCCCTATTGAAGGAATCATTAAGACGTTGGAAACACGATTTTAATAATTATATTCAATATGTTCTTTTTAGTACTTTTTTATTATCTATTGTTAGTACCCTCAAGAAATAAATTAACTTTCTTTTCTGATACTTAGTAATTACTTTGTTTTTATATCAAAGGTAAGGTAAGGTTTTTTGTACAAAATATCAAAGAGGATTTTGTCGAAGATTTGTGAACATAGTTTATACAGTAAGTATATTCATAACAAATTGTATGTATACATGTGTATCAGGTTTTAATTATATTTGTTTTCTATGTTAATAAATCGCAAACAAATAGCTTCGAACCTTTTTACATTGTATTTCTTTTTGATGTGTTTGATAACGAATCCTTTATTGTTTTAATTTACAAGAAGGTTTTATCGAAGGTTTTCTAGCACTGTTTTCTAGAGGTAGCTAAAGTTAGAAAAAAATTGAGGAGATTACTTTTACTATCATAGGTACTGTTTGGTGTTGAATCTCTGTATCATATTACATCGTGCTATGTATCCTAAATGTGCTTAGAAGTTCAATCCAGCGTACTGTAGAATCGCTGAAAGTCCGAGCAAAAATCTCGTTGCATAATAAACATAAACGATACAATCACGAAAAGAGAAACTTATGTTCGTGAAACGCATTTAGATAACCGTATCAAATAAGGAAATAGTAGCAGTGTAGTAAATAAAGCGCTTGATCATCAAACTGCGGTGTCTTCGCAACGAGCCTGGGAGTGTTGCCAGCGTCGGTAAATCAGTGGCTTTTGGCAAAGAGTTCACGCAAAGCATGTTATACTCAGCATGAATAACCTTAAATGCTACTATCAATGTCTATTCGGTAAGATTTCCTGCGATATATTAGAAGTTATTGCCTAATTTGTTTTGTTACTGCTTACGAAACTGATTTATGTCGGGGAAATTGTCGCGAAAATATGTTTATGTAACAGATATACTGTTTAAGAAGTCGGTATACAGACACCACCTGTTCACACAATTAGCGAACAAACTTAAAACATTTTTAGTAAAAAACTGAGCAAAGGTTTTCGAAGTTAAGCGGTGCACGTACAAACTTACACCGTGGACGAGGCCAAGTAAAAAAAAGTTGATAAACTTTCCGACTAAGTTAACAATCTTGCACTCGGGGCTCGAGGAAATCGTTTCATAACCCCGCCGTTGTTCGGTAAACGAGCAGTGAATAAGTTAGGGAGAGCTTACCTCTTTCCCACGTGATTGACTCGATCGGGTACCCGGCGACTGGGCACTTTATATTCAGATCGCTGCCCGCGACGGCTGTCACTTTAGGCATCTCTCGTATGTACGGAAGCCCGTACACGTTGACGCGGGCAGCGTGCAGCGCCTTCCCGGCACTGTTAGCTGCGACGCAAGCGTACTCGCCGCCATCTTGTTCTGTCACGCGACTGATGTTCAAATGGCTGACCACGTCGTCTTGTAGTGTCACGTGCTGGCCCACTACGAATCTAGAAATAAAATTTTTGTTAAATTTTTGTTGAATACTGGTGACCTTCTGCTGAACTTATTAAGGTAATCTGTTTAGTAATAATATAAAAAATAAATACAAATAAGTAGCGTAAATTATTTCTGTAACCTTTTGGGGAACATATAATAAATATGTAAAATATAGGAAACGAAAGTAAAAAGCTATCAAAATTTATATGTTCTTCAAATTTCTAGAATCGTTCTCCTAGATGGCAGATATAAAAAGTTTTTGTTTTCGTAAACTGTGTCCCCTTCGTTTTATAGCGAACATTAAACAGTTTGTTTTAGGGATAAACTCGTCCTATTTTGCTGAAAATCCAATCAAAGTACGTTAAAAACTTTTATGACAGCAGTGTAAACAGCACGTGTATACTGAAGTGCTGAAACTTTGTCAGTTTCTAATACTTTTATGGAAACATAATATTTTTAATTACTCCTGATAAGTATCAAAACTTAGGTTGACAAGAGTTCTTAAAGACAAATTGAATTTGTCGCCTAGGTCGTGTCTCGGATTATTTTAACTAGGTTGATTAATTTAGGTTTTATAGGCTTACCTCAATAACAATAACCTTGAATAGATTTATTTTACATAACTACACAATCATTTCTGATTAAAAAAGTATCTGGTTGATATTGAGTAGATTTTAAGATAACTTGATTTTATTTGTAGATAAATAATGTATGGGTAGAATAGGCTAGACTAGACACTATTATAAGTTATCTTAGTATAGTTTTGAACACTACACTAACGGCAACTATCTCAAAACAATGGTCTATAGTTAACAAATGCGGCGCCGGTGTGCGCTTTTCTTCATGCTACGGGCTACGAGCTACGGCGTAGCGCTACGAGGTACGATAGCGTGCTCTTCGAGAAACTTTTTGAGATTAACCCTAGCCCTTTCTAATTAATGAGCTTTAAGCTCAGCGTTAAAATGTTATTCAAATTAAAATGATTATTGTGTGCGGTCTTTGTCAGTTCTTTGTTAATTGTAGAGGTATATAATAAATGAAATTAATTTTGAGATTACACGAATCTAAAAGTTTTAGAAAATCAATTTATTCGGGTACTCTCTTCCCAGTTGGAAGTATATATTTTGTTTGGTAGTGTAGAGTTTTTTGGCTAGCTCAGCTTATAGGCTTACCTCGACGAAAAGACGTGATCAACGTTTTATGCCTTAAACCTGACTGTTTTCACGTCCTCACCTAAATGTTTTGCTCCCAAAAGTATATATGCTTACGTAGTGAACTCTCGCGCAGTAGGCTTTTATCTATTTTGTTATTTCGTACAAAAACATAATCTAACATACAGGCCAAGAATAATAATTTGTCGATCATATAAAAATTGATTCGTGCGTGAAATGGAACCCTTGTCACGTTGTGTGGCGGCTAGTTGTTCAACCGTGCACTCGAGGTTTAGTCAGCAGTCAGCAAATCATAAGACCTAAAGTAATGTATCGTTTTATTTTATTGATAAAACAAAGTACGTAATCTTACCTAGAGTTAGTTGGAATAGGGAATCCATCAAGTAGCCATGTGAACTGTGGTGGAGGATGACCCATCGCCACACATTTCAAGGACACACTCGGTCCTGGCTGCAGGGTTTGTTCCGAGAACCAATAGACGAGCTCCGGCTTCGATTCTGCAACAAATAAAATAAATAAATCTTACAACTTCAAGGAATTGTTGTAATCTATTGCCCCACAATAACGTGGAAACTACAGATCACGCTAACAGGGTTATTCTTTAAAAATTGTTTTAAAAGTTCGCATGGTTTGTTGTTATACTGTGTTAGAATTGTGAGCAACTTGAAAGTGGTTATAGTTATTGCAGTTGGTAGAACGAGGTTACCAGCAAAACTGGTATTGTTTTCGTAATTAATAAAGTAACACATATATAGGTGAATTTCTTTTTCTATAAAGAAATTGAAATTTGATAGCATAAATTACAAACATGTCTGCTTAACTGCCTCTTTGGCCGGGTAGTCGCAAGTCAGACTGCTGGGAAAATTTTAGCAGTAGCACGGAGTCTGGAATTGCACCCGGTACCTATAAGGCAATAGGCTCAACCCCTATTATAATTACATGGGACTGACAACATAAATAGTGAAAAGTGGGTGTTGCTTTGTACAGTGGCATTAAGTGCCGTAATATGCACCTCTCTTTACCCGTAGAGAGTTAAAGGTGTGATGTTATGTTATGTAATAACAAACGTATACGATATCTATTCCGACTTTAAGTTCATTAATCATTAACGATTAGAAATACAACAGTATATATTTACATAATATACCTAATATAATAATTATCGCTATGCAGTTTAAATGTCTAAAACAACTTCGCGTATCGTATACAGACCGGCACCTCAGTCAAAGAGCACTTAATTTCGCTTTTAGCATTTGTTAGGAGTTTTTTCTCTCATACAAACAACCCTATTAACTGGTGGGTATTAAAAACAAAGGCTAAGCTTATTATCTCGGGAGGTAGGGGAAAGAATAATAACCCCCTCGTCTGCGTCAGAATAAACTGTGCACTGCAGTAGGTGCACTGGGTTCCGTCTGATTAATATTCAGCTCTTTAGACGTCCAGGGAACTCTAGAGATTGCTGCTATCTAACGTTTGTATAGAAAACGTACTTGAATGGCTTTTTTGAAACCAATCTGTTTTACGGGCGCTTTGTTCATTCATTTTCCGTGATTGCTTTCTTCCTAGCGTATTTATGTGGAATACTAATTAATGTACACATTCCTTATGTAGTTCTTTGTGTTATAATTAAAATAATAATTGTATATAAGAACTGAGAGGTACATAACGTATAAACCTGGTAGTTTCCATATCAAATAAGCTGTATAAGTAGTTAAGGTCGGTATTACGGAGACAGACAGACGGGCGGACGGGCAAATCCGTCCGGCCGACTGTACGGCACGCTTCGCTCCAGTATAATTTTTCCACCTCGAATGATAAAGCAGACACAGGCTCAGTTGGTCTGTATAAAACTTTTGAGATTGGATTAGATTATAGATGCTCAAATCCGTTTTTGTTAGGCTTATAACTTTGTTTTGGGGATGGTTTGTTGAACAATATCGGATCATTGTGAACTGTTTGGATTCTATTACCACAATTTGAAACATTGAAACATTACAAAGTTTTGTTATTACACTTTACGTGTAACCTAAATATTACATTTCTCCGCAACATTTCTAACATTAGAACGCATGTGAGAGTTACTTTTTCTTTAGTCTATAGAAAAAGATTTCGAGAGCCGTGCTTCGGCACGAATGGGCCGGATCAACCGGAGTGATACCAAGGCCTCACAGAAAACCGTCGTGAAGCAACGCTTGTGTTGTGTTTCGTCGTGTGAGTGAGCTTACCGGAGGCCCAATTACCCTCCCCTTCCCCAATCACCCCAATTCCTGAATCCCCAACAATCCTCAAACTCAACGCACTTGTAACGCCTCTGGTGTTCCAGGTATTCATGGGCGACGCCGATTGCTTACCATCAAGTGATCGTTTACCGGCTTATGCCAAAAAAGTACAATTTTTTAAAAAGATTCAAGAAAATATTCGTAAAGTTGACGTATTATAAAAAAGAGAGAATAACCCAAATCATTTGGGTGTTTCGTGAGGCGTGCCCGGATTACTTTTTGACCTTTATTTTCAAAATTCACGCTCGCGAACTCATGTCTGTCGTTAATTCTTTTGATTATATTTCGTAATTAAAGGGAAATGAGGAATTCTTTAATCCTTTTTAAAGAGAAAATGGTGGCCTCTTTATGACGGCAGTTGACATGTAGACAAAGTGAAATATAATATTTTTATGGTATTAAAAACCAATATTTTCTCTGAATTTTGAATGTAATTTGTGAATTAATCTTATAGTGTCATATTGTAGTTCTACATATATATATATCTTTATGTACGTACACGTAACTACGCGATTTTGTTCTTCTAAGAGGTAGGCAGTGAGGCACAATAGTTACATATTAAATGTAGAAATCATTTGTATACTAACATAATTTATACGCACAGCACTTCTTAGCATAACTTTATAACTGTGGGAAGGAAAGCGGAGTCCATTACTATTCTAATATAGTGTTTTACTGAAGTAAGTACACGATAAGATAATTAATACTACTACATAGTACTTCCAGGACGCAAAGATCGTGTTTGCGAGGACTGAACATGGAGCCATGGTTTCATTTTTTTAAATTGAGATTACTTAACATAACATAATATCACGCATAACATCACGCCTTTTATCCCCGAAGGGGTAGGCAGAGGTGCACATTATGCCACTGTACAATGTAACACCCACTTTTCACTATTTAGGTTATGAGTTCCATGTAATAAGGGGTGCCTATTACCATATACCGGGCACAAATCCAGACTCCGTGCTACTACTGAGATTTAAAAAAAAAGTTAGTAATAATTTGCCCGACCCGGGAATCGAACCCGAGGCCCCTTGTCGCACTTGCGTCCACTCGGCTAACAAGGCAGTAGTTGATTTTTATTCCCTGTAATATATTTGGTGCCAAGTCTGGTCTACTGATTAAATAAAAATGGGATAAAATGTGATCTACTGATAAGAGTAATAAGGCAACGACCACACTATAATACTAAAAGTTCATTATACATAATATAATTTTCGTAATGTTTTGAACAATTTTATGTACACACATAACCAACTTAATGTAAACTATCAATCACCAAAAATAATCACCACCCATACCATTCAAAATGCCACTTTCTTACAACAATAATAAAGTGTAAATTCAAATGATTTCAGAATAGCTTTTTGGGGTCTAAAATGTATAATGTGGAAGGGTTTAGTCCCTTCATTAGTGACCACATTAAATTGGGACATTTATTTAGACAGAGCGGGATATTTAATGGGGAGTTTAGTTTTAAAGGCAGGTACAGTCAACTGGGTTTCAATGGCAATATTTTACTCTAGTGGTTTAATTATCACAGCTTATTAAATAGGTAGATATTTTGTTCGTTGCCTCGTTGGCCAAGTGGTAGCAAGTGCGACTGCCGGGCCTCGGGTTCGATTCCCGGGTCGGGAAATGTACTGAGTTTTAAAAAAAAATCTCTATGGTAGCACGGAGTCTGGAATTGTGCCTGGTATATGGAAATAGGTTCACCCCCTATTACATGGGACTCATAACATAAATAGTGAAAAGTGGGTGTTACATTGTACAGTGACATTAAGTGCCGTAATGTTCACCTCTGCCTACCCCTTCGGGGATAAAAGGCGTGATGTTATGTTATGTATTTTGTTCGTGGTTTTTAGTTTTCGAAGATATTCTCTGTGATTGAAATTTTTGTTTTAGTGTTTGTACTTTTTTACATTATAAAACGTCTCGTGTCGTTTACGATATTAAGGAGTTGTGTTCCCGTTGTTTAGTTTACTAATACATGACAATTACGTAAATAAGCGATAAGATTGTTTAAACTGGGATTAAACTTTAAACTACCTATCACGAATAAGAGTACCTTTATACAGGATTACCTGTAACTTGACTTATATTCCTCTCGGGAGGTGATAATGCAACTAATTTCCTACAAAATTAGCCCTGAGGTCCCTAGTCCGAAATTGGCTAGTTTCTGAGATATTCAACATTTGTGGTTTTGGTCATGGAGGAATACGTTGAGTTAGAAGTCACTGTGTATAATGCCCTCTATTATGTACTTCTTCCAGAATAAATACTGTTTCGAATTGATATACATGCTGTTTTAAAAATATACGAAAGCTACATCCACCATATTCTACATATTATACGAAGCAAACAAAGCAATTATAGAGAAGTTTGAACAATTCGCATAAATTCTATTAGTCTGTGATGCACAAAGCGGCAGACGCGACACGTCCTCACGATTGTTGGCGCACAATAGTTTACCTGCCGTTAGATGTCTGTGAACTTGCTGATGCTATCAATAGCTTCAAAGGCTCAGAATATCCTACTACGAGCTAATGTTGGGGATCGATCGAGTTAGAAGACGATGTGGTAAACGTTGGGTTTCTGTGGAGGAAGTTTAGTTATTTGCAATAGGCTCACCCCCTATTACATGGGACTCATAACACCCCTAAATAGGGAAAAGTGGGTGTTACATTATACAGTGGCATTATGTGCCGTAATGTACACCTCTGCCTAGCCTTAGCCCTTTGGTGACAAAAAGGCGTGATGTTATGTTATGTATTATGTTATGAGTTTAGTTATTTAATAAAACACGTAGTTATCTAGTATGTGTTTTATTTATAATAGTCTAGGGTCGTCAGTAAGACGAAAGTCAACTTTCAGTAATTAACTAATTAATAAAATTCGGAACACTTACAATTTTAAGATATTGGAAATCTGAATGCGATTTTCTACGGACAGGTGACTATAAAAATCAGCATACATTTGTACCCATGGTTCATTTTCCAATATAAAAGATTCGTATAGCAACCAGACAAGGTTTTCAATCACAAGAAAGCCAATACAATCAGGCGTTGCGACTTCTAGTTTAAAACGCAGCTGCAGTTTATCAATGGTAGTGGTTCGGAGTCATTCCTCCCTGTCTCCTCGGGTTTACTTCGAGTCCGTAACAAATGAGGCTTGTTAACAGAAGGTCAGCTACTTTGATCATTTATCGACACCCAGTACCACGACTTGAACTTAAAATTTACTAAATAATATAATATAATGTTACATCATTTGTAAAATACTAGTTTATACATACATACATA